GGCCATGTTTTCCATCTCCGTTTGCATGCAGAGAGTCGCATGTCTCTGCATACACTGAGAACCAGCGTGTGCAGAACAAGCCAGGCACCGATGAGCCGCTGCACTGGGGCAGCGATGCTCTGGCTATGACAGGGGACTCGTGGAGCCCCGTGCTGTCCCCGAAGAGCTCCAGGGCAGCAAAAGGCACGCTTACGTGCGTGGGCTCGCTCAGCTCTGTCTCGCACAGCATGCAAGTTCACAGGCAGGACAGGGGAGGCTGCTTGCTTACAAAGCCAGCTCTGAAACAGCGGGCTGAGCTGCAGGTGAGCGGCTCCGAGCAGCTCCGGTGCGTCACTGCCGGCCAGCTGAGCCACGGTAACCAGCTGCTCTCGCACACCATCCAGGCTCCCAACCGAGGCAGGAACAAACACACCTTCTCACACGCGTGCAAGAGGCCGAGAGCATGCAGGCGGCCCGTTACCGCAGCTCAGCCGACCCCAGCAGCACGCTAACTGCTGTGGGAAGGTCCGAGCGGCCACTCTGCCTCCAAACAGATTTACAGCTTTGGTAAAGCAATGCCTCTGCCCATCCCTGCCCTCCCGGGGCATCCTGGGGCTGGGCAGAGCCACATCGGAAAGAAACAGCAGCTTTGGGGCGCAGCGTGCCCTTTTCACAGCAATGCTTTTAGTTGCTCATGAACACACGGTTCTTTTAACAAGAACTGCCAATTTTTGCACCCCTCAGGAGGGTGGACTCATACGTCAGTCCTGCAAAGGAGGAGAAGAGGTAAAAATGGAGGAAGCACAAGGAATGGGGGGGAAGGACCAGGAAGTATCGTAAACTTGTTAAAGATGCAACAGCATAAAAACTATTTTTTTTTAAACACTCTCCCGCCCCATCCTTCATTTTGGAAATCAGTGTGCGAGTCAAGGTTTAGAGGGAGAGAGAACAGGCTGGGTTAGGTTGGTGCAGGTGCTCTCTGTGGTTATTAGAAGTCATGCATTGTAATAGACTATCACTCACTGCCCGCAGGAGGAGATGCAGCAGCAGCAGCAACAGCAGAAGTGGTGGGAGTGGAATTGACGGAGGAAAGAGCTACATGGGTTGGGCTAGAAACATTTTTTACATCGTGGTGCTGGCTCACGATGGAAGGCTGTCTCCTGAGGGCTCCCTGCAAAGAGGAGGCGCCGGTCTGGAATGTGTAAACTACGTCCATCTGCAAAGAACCAGAGAGTGAGATAGCGTCGCCCCGGCCAGAGACAGGGAGAGGGGTCGGGGATGGAGGGGAGCAGGGAGGTTGGGCAGACACACGGACAGGAAGGAAGAAGGAGGATGGAGAGGTGGGGAAGAGGGAGGAGAGAGCCCCCCGCCCCACGCTCCCGTAAACCCGCACCGGGTTCGGCTGGTATTTCTGGGAGCAGAGGAGAGATCAGCTGCCAGCCTCTGCCCCGCTCCCACAGGGGCAAGAGGGGCAGGGTTTATCCCACCACCAAGAAGGAGACTGCGGTGGGAGGGAGCAATAGAGGAAACACCTCGGGTTATCCCGACAATCTGCAGGAGGAGCAGAGAAAGAGAGAGGATGGGCAGAGGTGCGAGCTGGAAGCTGGTGGTCCAGAAAACTGCACTGGGAAAGGGTTTCTGGTCCCTCAGCCCCGTAAGACGTACAGCTGGGGGGCCGAATCCTGGGACACACCGTGGGTCCGCAGCTCCCACGGCCGCTGGCCGTGCTGGAAGACGTTTCACAGCCCCTCTCGCAGGCTCACGGCTCTGCACAGGGCTCAGAAGCAGAGCTGGCAGGGATGCAGCAAGGAAGCACCCTCGGCGGTGGTGGGCCATGGTTGCTCTGTGGACGCACACCGAGGCCGGAGGAACCGCACAGCATCCGGGTGCCACCGTAGCTTCCCGGACACTTTGCATCTTGGCTGTCCCCAGCCCCGCGCCAGCCAGCCCGCGGGCAGAGCGCACAGCCCTGCGCCGCCCCAGCTCGCCTGCACAGCTCCTCGGGAGGGGACGCCTCCTCCAGACCCAAGTGCAGCTCTAGTCCACCCTGGAGGCGTTTTACACACTGCAGTTTGATCTCCCTCCACGGAGGGACCCTCTTTTCCCCAGCGCACCAGGCTGGCCCACGGGGAAGAGCCCTGTGCTCTCAATTCACGCCTACTGGGGACAGAAGCCCTCAAGACGCTCGTGTTGGACCTGCCAGCTGCTCTGCTCGACAGGCAGGGCACCCCAGCCAGGAAAGGAGTCCCTAAAGAGGCTCCAGGACGTGCCAACGTCCAGGAGTGTTTTTCATGTTGCAAGACCAAAAGCTTGTTTCAGCCCAGGTCCACCACAGCTGCAGGGAGATTCCTCGGAGGCTCTGGGCTCGGCCGCAGCAGCATGCCTGGCCGCTGGGACTGCTGCCGTTCATACCTACCAGGCCTCCGTCACGTCTGGACCACTTCTGAAACAGCCTGGTGCTCCCAGCACATCTTTCATACGCATGAGCCAGACCGAGCCGGCAGCTCAGCCCGCCGCAGTGCCGGCGACCAGCGCCGCCGTGGCCCCCAGAAGAGCCTGGCTGCCCCTCACCGCTCACAACGGGCAGGGAACAAGGCTGAACCTCACCTTGAAACCCTCAAGGCAACGTCTCACAGCGGAGAAGCAAAGTTAACATGGCACAACACGGCTGCTGTGCCCGCTCCAGTCCCTGTGTCTGGGCCATTTTGGTTATCTCTATTTGTCGGAGGGCCGGAGGAGGAGGAACAAAGGATAAAAAAGCAGCCCTGAATGCCAAGGGCTGCTGGGACCTACAGCTTTCCTCCATGGGGCAGCTCTGCCCAGGCCTCAAGGAAAGACGAGGGGCAGAGACCTCGCTGCAGGGAGCTCTCCCTGCCCTGCCCAGCCAGCAGTCTGGGGGAAAAAACACCCTTTCAGGAAAAACTGAGTCAGGGAGAAACAGCTGATGTAAAAACCATATTAACAGATAGATTCTCCTCCCCTTCTGTGCTGCGGGGCCAAGAGCTCCAGGCAAGGAGCCTGGAGAGCTGGCAGGGAGGGGTGGCAAGAGCCCTTGGCCAAAGGGCCGTCGGGAAGGACAGGGAGCGGCAGAGGAGCGAGACCAGAGAGGGTCTCGCACAGGCAGATCCCTCCTGGGCATTTATCCCACTGGGAACGGTGTCCCAGCAGCGACCAAGAGCAGCTTCAACGCTGACCTGCTGCACAACCCGGTAAGAGCCCGGGCGGCTCCGTGGCCCCCCTGCAGCTTCTGAGCCCCCTCCTCTGCCACACATGGTGCCCATCGGCAGCGCATCCAGCCTCCTGCAGACCAGCCTGGCCTCGAGCTGCAGGATGCTGCATTCTGCATCAGAACAGACTGGTGCCTCCCCCTGCCCTGAGCTGTCCCTGAAAGCCAGGCTGTCCTGGTTCCCCAACCAGGGCAGACCCAGAAAGGCACAGGTGGTGGGAGAAGTCTAGCCCAGGAGGCGATGGCATCCTCCGAGCAGCAGCCGTCGCCTCTTTCCAGACAGAGCCCCTGGAGAGAAAGAGAGAAAGAAAGGGAGAGAAGGAAGAGCCCCACAGCACCGGCTGCCCCACGGTACCTGCGTCTGTATCCTGTTGAGACCCCGGAACCACAGGATCTGCCCGCGCCGCAGCTCCATCTCAGCGTGGTCGATCTCATCCACGTCTTCAGGCAGCTCCTCCTCTGGGATCTCCTCCTTGGTGATGCCATGGCCAGCTTCCTTCAGGAACTTCAGGTGGCTGGTTGGGACAGTGCAGATCAGCTGGGAAGAGGCAGGGAGAGAGCAGTTCCTTAGCATGCAGGCTGTGGCAGCACGGGCCCCACCGCCAGCCTTGACCACGGGGGAACATTCCTGCAGCGACCTGCCAGGCCTCAGCTGAGAGACGCCAGGATGCAGCCGAGACATGCCATCACTGGATGTGCCCTGCTGCAAGCAGGGCGGGAACGAGGAGAAGATTAGCAACCTTCTCTCCTCACTGCTGGCATGGTACTGGGATGGAGCACCGCCGCCTTCCAAAGCTGCCTTGAATAAATACCGGGGAGAACGAGGGCAGCCAGGCAGAGGGAAGGGAGAAGCAGGTTGGGCTGTGAGCATGCCGTGGATGGAGGCACATGGTATGTTTTTCAGACTGGCTCTTACCTGGCCCCAGAGGAGCTCTCCCACTCCGATAAAAATACACCAGAACCACTGGCTCAGGGTGAGCCCAGAGCAGCTGAACGGCTTCCCACCAAACTCCACAATGATGATCTACAGCACAGGAGAGAACAAGTCACGCACTGGGAACTCCAAGGGCTGCGTGGCACAGCCACGGGATGGAAAGGTCCCCTAGGGCCACACGTCTTTTCCCCCCTCTCTGGGATCACAAGACGAGCAAGGACCTCACGTCTAGGCTATAGCTTTACAGGACACCAGAGGCACGCTGGCTGGCGGGCCCTGGCATCTCCCAAAGCACTCTAGACGCCAATATTCAGGTTTGGTGTCACCAAGAAGCTGCTGGAAAAGAATAAGAGGACAGGACAGAGCTGTGGGCAGTGACTGCAGCAGACACAGGTCCTGCCTGCGGCATGGTCCCCTCCCAGCCCCACCATTTTATTCCCATGCTGTTCCCGCAGCCTCACCTGAGCTGCGAACGTCCCCAGCACCACCGTGCAGAAGATAGGGTTGCGGTAGATGGACTCGAAGACGTTCCTCTCCCCGTGTATCTTGCGCGCGTTGATCTCATTGAACAACTGCATCATGACAAAGGTGTTGAAGACGATGGTGTAGTGCTCGGTGGGTGGGGAGTGGAGCGGGGCATTCCGGCCACTGTCAATGTCAAAAAACTTCTCCCCTAAGCAGACAAGGGGTTTTGGGGAGGGGATGGGGAAGGACAGGGAAGAGAGGAGAAGATGAGATCCTGCTCCTTACTTCTGCTCTGCACTGGTGGATGTGGAATTAGGATCCCAGGCTCTTGCTGAATATGCCTTGACCCAGCTGGAGCCCCACTGAACCCTTATTTCCTTAAAAATGTTGAAAACCTGCTGCCCTGGCTAAAACTGTCTCTGCACCCAGCGAGGTCTTGAGCAGACCCACACCCTCGACATAAACCCTCTCCCTTAATGCCCCTCCGCTTCCCAGCCATTAAATAAGCTCTGTCCTGGCCAACGTGGGGTCCCCGAGTGACAGCTGAGAACAAGAGTCCCCAACACTGGTGCAGAAAGGCAGCTCACGAGGTGGTGCTGGGACTCTGCCCCTTTCCTTGCCCCCCCCCCCAAAAAAAACCATTTCTCGGGGCTTCACAGCTCACCCGCAAAAAGCAGCGTGAAAATGATAGTTAGCTGGTACACGGCGTGCCCCAGGATGTTCTTCATCATGGTGCGGGAGATGAGCGGCTTGTTGCGCCCATATGGCTTGCGCAGCAGCAGGGACTCGGACGGGGGCTCCGTGGCCAGGGCTAAGGAGGCGAAGGTGTCCATGATCAGGTTCACCCACAGCATCTGGACAGCCTTCAGGGGAGAGTCCTGCAGAGAGAGCGGGGAGAACACGTCACGCCACCAAAATCACCCTCTCTTCACTCCCTGTTTCGCAGAAGCCCCTGGTCTCCTCCTGCGGAGCCCAGAGGCCCCGTACCTGCGTGATGCAGGCGCCCGTGAAGGCCACGATGACGGCCACGACGTTAACGGTCAGCTGGAACTGCAGGAACTTGGAGATGCTGTCATAGACATTGCGTCCCCACATCACCGCCTTGACGATGCTGGTGAAGTTGTCATCCGTCAGGATGATGTCCGAAGCCTCCTTCGCCACATCCGTGCCTGCGATGCCCTTGAGGACCAGGGAGAAAGCAATGGGGTGAGTCACGGGGCGAGCTTCACGCTTGCAGTCTGTTCGTCTTCGCTTCTTCCCAGAAACAGCCTCGAGAGAAAAATCCACCAGAGCCAGTGCCAGGCCTGCGTTCAACAGCGAGTCCTGCTGCAGCTGCACCAACGCACCTGAGAGAGAGGAGGCTCCAAAGCAGCGAAGCCTTCAAGGACAGACACGGGCTCGGCTCCAGAGCGGGGCTCTGAGCCAGCGGCAGCTTTGCAGCCTGCCACTGAGCGCCCCAGCCAGGGGCCACAGCGCAGAAAGGCTGGGAAAGGGCTTCCTCCTCATGCCAGGGAACACGGGGATCCCTGCCTGGGCATCTCTGCTGCAAGGGAGGGCTGGGACCCCCAAATGAGAGGGAGAGATCAGCGGCCCGAAGCCCCAGTGCCTTCTGCCCCGTCCGAGGTGGACGGCAGCCCCGCAGTGAGCAGGGCTGCCCACAGCCTCCCAAAAATCACCTGCAGCATCTCAGCCGGACACAGTTTGCTCTGCAGGAGCTGGGCTCGCTGCATTTCTCACCGCCAGCACACAGAGGCGCTCGCTTTGTAGTAATCAAATGCATTAAATGTAAGGAGCAGGTTCCCTGGTGCTTTCACAGAGAAGCTCTCTTGCGATTTGCAAGACCCATCTCAGCCAGGAACCCCCAGCTGTCGCAGGGCACGAGCTTCGGAGCGAGCTGGGCAGACCAGCCCAAGGTCCCCCCATGCCCTTCGATCCCCGCTCTCCGGAGACCCAAGGGCAGCACAGCCCCATGCCTGGCCCCCAGCAAAGCCCCGTGCCTGGCCAGGGCCTGATCCTGCACATGGGGGCAGGGAGCCCCACCGTACTGTCCCCAAGAGAAGACAGACTACCTTCTGCTGTTTGTCCTAAAGGCTCCAGAATTGCACTTGGATATTTAACACCTTCCTAAAAAACCCTGCTCCCCAAAATTTTCTCATTTGCTTAAAGCTCCCTACATGGGCTCATAAGGCTCCACTCAGCACCTGGCTCCTTTCACCTACCTAAACTTAAACAATTCACAGGAAACCCATTAAAACTGACAGGTTTCAGAGCCCGGGGCCAGGCAGGACCCTGCCGTGGATGCTCTGCAAGCACCGTGTCACCTTCAGCTGGACACAGGCCCCCCCGCTGGGCCAGAGGAGCCCAGCCCTAAGCCGGGCTCTCAGAGGACTGCTTCCCATCAGTCTTTTCCTAACAGTCCTATAAAGCTCATGAGAATTAAATCAAACCTCCAAAGAATCTTTCTTTTTTTCTTTTTAAGCCATCCTGTAGATTTGGAGGAGAGTTTCACCAGTCCAGAGATAATTTAAGTGTTGAGAATAACCAAGTGTGTCATTAGTTTCTCACCCCGGAGAGCGAGGGCCACCCCTAGGGAGAACCCACCGCCCGTCCGTACCATGGCAAACCCAACGTCGGCTTTCTTCAAAGCTGGGCCATCGTTGGTCCCGTCCCCGGTCACGGCCACAACCTGCCTCTGGTCACCAACAGTGCTGTCAATAATTCCTGAAACGGGGACAAACAGTTCAGAGAAAATAAGCCCCAAGGGCAGGCTCCCAGCACAGATCATGCTGCAGAAGCCCCCGGGCAGAGCAGAAGGAGATGCTTTGGTGAGAGGCAGCAGCCAAGGCAGCTGGCAGGCACTCACCTTTCACGAGCGTGTGCTTATCTGTCGGGGAGGAGCGGGCCAGCACACGCAGCTTGGGCCAGATCTTATCCAGCTGCTCCTGTTCCACCTGCAGGACAAGGCACATGTGAGAAGGGGTAGGGACCCCCCAGAAACCTTCTGCCCCACCGGAGAGCAAACCCCAACCGGGGCAGCGCCTTCGCCTCTGAGCACCCAGACGCCCCTGCGGCTGCGCTGGCTGAGGATCCCGGCAAGCGGAGGGGCCGGCTGCATTTATCCAAGTAGAGGAGGAAAACCCAGTGGGATTCAGCGCCTTACACTGCTGGGGCTGTCGGAGAGGCCACCCACACCCACTGCAGAGCTGGGCCCAGGGGCTGCTCTCCCACCTCTCCCTTCTCGTTGCGGATGAGCCGGTTGAACTCCTTCCCCTCCAGGCACAAGAAGTCCTCCCCTGGCAGCAGGATGCCACACTTGGTGGCGATGGCGCGGGCAGTGTTGATATTGTCCCCCGTCACCATCCGGACGGTGATCCCTGCACGCTGGCACTTCAGGATGGCGTCTGGCACCTGGGGGATGGGGACAGAGTTGGGGGAGGACAGGCAGGGCAGGGCAGAGCGCTCGGGTTCGGCACTGGGTATCCCGGGAGCCCAGCGGCTCCTCTCCCATTCTCCCTAAAAGGATCTGGAAAGGGCCCCAGTGGGGTCACGGACCAGCAGCCCACCTCATCCACCAGCAGCTCAGCTTGGTGCTCACACTGGGGATGAGATGCTGAATCGAAAACTCCCCCCCCAGAACCAGCCCAGCCATTTATCCCTGGGGTGCAGGGGGAAGCCACCAGGGACGGGAGAGGATGCCTGCCCGTGCTCGCTGCCGGCTGCTCCTGCACCGCAGCCTCCTGCCCTCGCCACGGCTCCAGCCAGACTCGTGTGCGTGTCCGGAGCAGCTCCTCCAGCACAGACAGCCGGAGATCTTCCAGCCGTTGCCCCAAGGGGAAGGCAACCTCCCTGCCTCCTCCCCGTCGTGCTGCGGTGCTGGGCGCCAAGCCATGGCCCGGTGATCCATCACAACCGGGGCATTTTGTCCGCCCCCTCGCACCGCCCCGGCAGCACGTTGCTGCACTAATAGGTTTATCTATTATGGAGCGGTGGGGGAAGAGGATATTAGTGAGAAATTAGCAAATTGAATCAACGGCCTCCAGAGCTGGCGCAGACGGGGCATCTGTAATGCAATTCCCAGACCCAGATACTTGAACATCTAATCAGGAAAGATGCAAGCAAGGCAGGAGCGCAGGGGCAAGCTCCAAAATGTAATCAAGAGGCAGGTATCAGAGGGCTTATTGCATTAGCCCAGCTGCCTGCACGTCACCCCTGCGGCAGAGGCAGAGGGGGACAGCAAGCTGGGAGGGAGGAACCAGCTAAATCAGCCCTGCCCCTCTCCATCGCCCCTCTGTCACCCCTACGTGGTGGCTCCATGCACCTTTCAACTGCATGTGGAACCAGCCTGGCTTGTGCACAGACCCCTGGTAGCAGCCCGGGGGAAAGTTTGGGTGGAAACACCTGCCACCAGGTCATTTTGTCCAGGTGTGGGAGAGAAATGCCAGCAGCAGGGAGCTGGTAGCATGGGGCACTTCAGGGATGGATGCAGAGGAGCTGCTTGTGCTTTCTTAAGGGGCTTGTGGTCCTGAGCAGCTGGGAAAGGGGCTCCTGGCCCAGGAACGGGGCTGGGGCAGAGGACAGCCAGGGTAGAGCTGGGATTCGGTACCTCTGGCCGCACAGGGTCCTCTATCCCGACCACAGCGATGCAGGTCAGGTCAGACAGGATCTCGTTCTCGCTGTCCCAGTCTGGCTCGGCGTCAGCGGGGAAGTCACGGAAAGCCAGGCAGATGGTCCGCAGCCCGTGGCAGGCCATGGGCTCTATCACCTTCTTCACCATCTCATCCCGATCCTTCACCTTGAACACCCGCGGGTCTCCATTCTTGTCCAGGATCCTGGTGCACCTAATGCAGGACCAGAATGGAGGGTGAGGGAGACGGGCGATGGCACGAGCTGCTGGCTCAGCGATCCGTTCCCCCTGTCACCCAGGTTCTCCATCTGCAAAACGGGGGCATCCCCCTTACTCACAGCTTCCTACAGCTTTACCAAAGCCACCCTAAGAGAGTTAAACCCTTTGCACGGCAGCACCTCCCAATAGTCACCTCCCCGCTGCACAGCGGCCCGGCACCCTTCACCCCACAGCCCTCCAAAACAGCTCCACAGCGCATCGGGAGCCTAAAGCCCACGGGACAGGGAGAGGACTGGCGCAGCGAGGGAGGACGGTTACTTGCGGAGGATGATCTCGGAGGCTCCCTTGCTGTACATGCGGAAGCCGCCATTGCCATTCTTCAGCACCGTGCTCATGGACTTGCGCACCGAGTTGAACGTGTAGACCTTGTAGAGCTTCTCCTCCGGCACTTCGTTCCGCACAGCCTGGTAATCCTGCTTCAGGTCCAGCACGAAACCCAGCAGGGCGCACTCGGTCTTGTTCCCCACTTGCCGGGGTAGCCCCCCTTCCTTCTCAGGTGGCTGGAGAGGAGAGAGGAAAGGAAAAGCAATGCCAAACCGGGTACGGCAGGATGGGAGCTGCAGGGATGGCCGACAGTGGGAAGGCCAGAGGACACGAGGTTGTGGTTCTCCAACTCACCAGAATCTTGGATGTGTAGGCGGAGTTGATGGCGACACCGTTGACTATGAGGTCCAGGATCTTGGGCAGGATGGCTTCAGGGTCGGGGATCTGGCGGTAGTGGGTGTCCCCGACGTAGGCCTGTACCACAGTCATGCGGTTCATGGTGAGCGTGCCCGTCTTGTCCGAGCAGATGGCGGTGGCATTGCCCATGGTCTCGCACGCGTCCAGGTGTCTCACGAGGTTGTTGTCCTTCATCATTTTCTGCAACAGGCACCATGACCAGGAAGGTCAGAACCAAAAGCATGAATTTCCCCATCGTGCCCCTAGCAACCCCACTGCATCGTGGTCTCACCTTCACAGAGTAAGCCAGGGAGATGGTGACCGCCAGCGGGAGCCCTTCAGGCACAGCCACCACCAACACGGTGACACCGATGATGAAGAACTTGACGAAATATTGGATGTAAATGGGGGTGCATTCTGCCAGCCAGGGCCGCCCCTGCACCCCAAACGTGTCGATCACGAAGTACAGCACCAAGATGATGACTGTGATGGCCGACATGATCAGCCCTGGGAGGAGAGGGAGAACGGCAGGTGAGGGGACACGGGGGAAGGGGACAGCCCTTTCTCCCCGTGCAACTTCCAGCAAGGCTCTGGGGTGACAGCTCGTGTCGGGCCACTGCCACTCACCCGCCTTCCCGATCTGGACCGCCAGGCGTGTGAGCTTCCCTTGCAGCACAGACTTCTCTTTCTTGGGCACCTTCACCTTCTTCTTCTCCTTCTCCTCATTTTCCACCCCTTCCTGGCTCTTCAGGGGCTGGATCTCTAAGGCCACACCATCCTGAGTTTTAGCTACAGCCCAGGGCAAAATAAGACACCACGTGTGAATAGGAGAGAGACCGGGAAAACCTGTAGGACACCACTGAGAAAGATGGTGGTGGGAGAGAGAGAAAACCCAGAACAAGAACCATTCCCAACGACACACGCATCCGAGCACATGGAAACCTCGTGTCCCGGGGCCCTGCCACCTCTCTATGGGGCAGTTTTCTGCCGTCTACCCCAGCCCCACGGATAAAGGATCCTCAGCGCTGACACTGGCGATGTGACCCCTGCACCGATCACACCTCTAAGGCAGCGCTGCAAGAAACCCTCTGGCCAGGCTTTGGGGTGGAGGCAGGTCTCTTCCAGCCTCGCCTGCGGGCTGCTTTACACCCTGTGGCAGATGGGGAGCACTTTGGGCTGACCCCAGAGAGGCTCCGGTCCCCCCCGTCCCCTGATGAGCCCCCCTGCTCTGCACCCCGCTCCCACTCGGTGCCGCCTCTGCAGTGCCCGTGGGCAGCTCGGCAGGAATCGCTTGCCAGGGGAGCGACTAGGGGGGTGAGATGGAGGGGGATGGTTAGAAATTCGATGGAGTATGAAGAGTGAGCCAGCTCCTTGAATCCCAGCCCTGAGCCATCCATCACATCTTTAGGACCCGAGATAGCCAGGCTTTCAACTGCTATAATTGGTCTAGTCCAGCTGAAGGTCTGTACCAAGGAGACCCAAGTCAGCTGGAAGTTTTGGAGAAGGATGGGAAGGGAAGAGGGTGGGAAGCCCCCCAAGAGGCTCTGCCTCAGCTGTCGGGGCTGGAGGAGCAGCGGTGGCCCCATAGCTGCCTGCAGCCACCCCAGGACCTGTCCCCTCCCGGCTGTCGCCGCTCGATGGCTCGAGACACCCCGGAGCTCAGGGCAGCTCCACATCGGACACCTCCACGGTTACGACAAACCCGACACGGACAAAACAAGCACCCGGACACAGTCTGACGGGAAGGAGGGAAACTCAAACTGCTGAGAGGAGAGAGAAAGAGAGAGAGGTGGAGAGAGAGGTGCAGAAATGGGCTTCCTCCACAGCCTGCAAAGAACAGTGTGAGAAACACTGGCGAGGAGACGCTCACGGAGTCGAGGCCATGGGAGGAGAGGGTGCAACCGTCGCGCTGGCCAGGCCTCGTGGGACGTTTCATCCCAGGAGTGGCATGAGGGGACCCATGTCTCTCCCCCAGCCGTGCCCAAACACAAACCCCACAAAGGGACTGCTTCTGGGGAACGCGAGGGCTTCAGAGCCACCAGCTCACAGCTGTAGCTCCTGTCAACGTGGATGAGATTTGGCCCGAGAAAGGGATGCTCTGCCAGTGGTCTGGGCTGCTGGAAGAGCCCTGTCCTCCCTGCACAAAGGCTTGCCCCACGCAGGGACAAGGTGGCCACAGGGGAAGCTGGCCAGCACCATCCCAGCTACGCACAGCCCCGGGGTGGGGTGCCAGAGGGCACTGCGATGCCGTGCCGGCACCACCGGCCGCGGGACCGTTGCACCCTCTCCCAGGACAACGAGGCGAGAGTCCCGCCGGAGCAGCAAAGAGCACAGACTGATGAGAAGAAGGAAGGAAGGAAGGAAGGAGGAATGCTCGGTAGTTAGTGTGGTGCTGGTTCAAAGGATGGAGAGGCTGGTTACCTTTGTTGCGATTTTCAGGGGCTCCGGTTTTTTTACCTGTTCAAAGAGAGAAAGGGTGGAGGGCTGAGCACATGGACCCACGTTCAATGTCCAGCTGATGGGACAGCCTGGGGTCGGCCCTGCTCCAAGGGACCGTGCACCGCTCCCAGCGGCATCTGCGTGCAAGGCTCAGCACCCTGCGGTCGCCCTCCGGACACCACGCGTGCCTTGGTCCACAGTTGGCGGCACCGGAGAGGCTCTGGAGCTCCCTGACTCCCCCAGGCACCCCATCCCCAAGGCTTCAGACTTCCCCACGTGCGCAGCACCCACTACAGCCCCTGTCAGTGCTTCAAAGGGTGCCAGTGGTGGCTCAGACCCTCGGGGAGAAGAAACCATAAGCGGAGCTCAACCCCCGTGCAGCAGATACTGAGCACCGGCGCTCCCTGCCTCCCGCTGCCGTTGGGCACAAGCGGATCCACCCAGGAGGCACAGACGTGTCCCCTGCCGTGGGCAGCACCGTCCCCATAGTGGGGGGCTTCTGCCCCCTGTCTCTGAGGTGGGCAAGGTCCACACACAGGGGTCCTCAACGTGCCTCCGCAACACGGGGAGCACAGGGCTGCTGCAATCTAAACAAGCCTTGTGCGATACGGGGTTTATACACCTTCCTCCCATCACCCCCCAGCACCATGGAGGGGGATGAGCTGGCGAAGCCACCTGCCCTGCTTTGCTCCCAAATTGAGGGCTGCAAGGCACAGGGCACAGAGCCGGGTCTGCTGTGGGGCTGAGCGACAGAGTCTGGGGGCTGGGAAAACACCAAGCGCTGTGCCCGGGCACCTGGCAAGCTGCTGCTGAGCTCCAACAGCAGCACTGCTCCCACATCTCACCCCGTACTCCCACCTCCAAGCTGGCAGCTAAACCCCAAGAGCTCCAGAGCCACTGAACCCCAGCGACGCAAGCAGCCGCCTGCCCCAGGTGAGCGGAGCTGGAGAAACCCAGCGCACACGCGGCCCAGAGCCAGAACGGCTGCCAGGAGAGGCCCGGCAAGCCTCTCCCCCTGTGGCATCGCCTCCCCGGGAGGGGCCCCCCGGGCGGGG